CGTTTAATAAAACTGACTGACACATGGCAGATCATGACAATACGGCGTAGCTGAAACCTAAGGACAACAAAAATGGACGTAGGGGGATCCAGACAATGAAGTGACTAAACCTGGTCCAAGAACCCAGTACGATCTCAAACTAAATACAAACAAGAACTCTGGTAACCAGTTAGAATGAACATAAGCAGCAGATCAGAGGAATCAAGACAAAAAAGTAAACACAAATCTGCACCGATGAGCACAGTAAGGGAAATTTGGTGGCAAGTGTTCTGAAACATATTATAATGCCCACATAATCCTACACATCCGTTCACTCATTATTCATCGCAAGTAACACGGGAACATCTCACCCTTCAGTGCCTATATTTCTCTGTCCACAAGTTTTATCAAAGCAGCGTGCTTTCTTCTTCAGCTTTTGGAAACTGGCTTCCTCTACTACATTCACAGATCCCGATGCAGCATGGTGGTCTGTAAACAAAAAAAAATTTGTCTCTGTGTGTGTACGTGTGCACTCAAGAGCTTGGTTGTGGTGGGGAGGAGAGAAAGGAGAGAATCCTGAAGGCAGGAACCCACTTTTTACCTTCCCAGTGCAAACTCGTTTCTACTACAGGTGTGTCTCATTTTATTGCCCTTCCAAGTAATGCATTTTTTTAAACAAATTAAATATCTGTAACAACCCTGAGTTCAGCAGTGACATTTCTGTCCAACAACATTTGCTCATTTCTTTTCTCTGTGTCACATTTTGGTAATTCTTGAAATATTTCACTATCATCTTAATTAAAATAGGCATGACATTCCTTTAAGGCAAATCCAGCGCAAGTCCCTAATTCTCAGCAATTCTACAAACCCTGAGAGAGATGAAGAGGCTACAAAAGGAAAGTCTGAGGCCAGCAGGGGTTGCTCCATGAGGTTTAAGGCAAGATTCCATGTCCACTGCGTACCTGTGCAAGGTAAGGCAGAAAGAGCTAATCTAGAAGCTGTTGCAAGTTCTCCAGGAGATGAAGCTAAAATAGCTAATGAAGGTGGCTACACGAAACGACAGATTTTCAATGCAGACAATTGCAAGTGGAGGCCATCCAGCACTTTAATAGCTAGAGAGGAGAAC